ACACTGATTGATGCCAGCGCTCACAGCTAAAGTTTTACCAGAAAATGTACAGTAACACTCACACACATCTGAACACAATCAGACATTCAAAATGACAGTTACTGTAATGGATGATGGAATATATATCTGCTCAACAAATGACCAAAAGCTGTCTTTAGAGAAAGGGAAAACCGGTGGCAACATTTTCATCCACAATTTCCTAGCTTTTTAAAAGGTCCCATGTCATGGCCATTTCTACTGATCATAATTCCATTGTTGAGGTCTACTAGAATAAATGTGTATTGTGCAATTTTCCAAACTCACATTGGTTTCTCATACAGAATCTCTGTATAGTATGTGTATTCACTCTCTGTCCTAAACGGCTTGTTGGAGCTCCTGCCCCCCCCTCCNAAGCAGGCGTGGGAAAGAGATCGAAAAATCTAAAAATAATCATAGAAGCATTTTTGCAGCTTTTTGCATGTTAGAAACGGAGTCGGCGACACTAAAACTGCAATTTAATGTTTGTTAGCAATAATAAATATGACATATTTTTTACATGTCTCCAGTACCGATAAAAAGACCGCTAACGTCAGAGCTTAACGGTACCACGGTCTTTAATAATTCAGCCCCGGGGCCCATTTAATACGGGGGCTCGGTACCCATCCCTCATGGCCATTTCTACTGATCATAATTCCATTGTTGAGGTCTACTAGAATAAATGTGTATTGTGCAATTTTCCAAACTCACATTGGTTTCTCATACAGAATCTCTGTATAGTATGTGTATTCACTCTCTGTCCTAAACGGCTTGTTGGAGCTCCTGCCCCCCCCTCCCTGTGAGCCCAGTGGCCGTCTGCGAGACAGCGAGACACCGCGAAACCCAGCCCGAAACACACACACACACCCGCAGACTGGCTGGGAGTTTGTGTGTGTGCCCAGGCTGAGTTCCTCTGTGTCTCGCTGTCTCGCCAACCCCACACCAGTGAGCCAGATCACAGTGTCCCGCTCCTCGCAGCAGCGAGCCTCGCAATGTCCCGCCGAGTGTGTGTGTGTGAGGAAGTCCACGGATCGGTCCAAACGTAACGGCTCTGCGGACGTTGCGTCACTATACCCGAAATACGTCACTATACCCAAGAAGTAAACAATGGAAAAAGAGAAATCTCCAACGAGGCGTTCTGGGGCAGCATAGACAGGTCTTTTCTGTGTTAGAGTTTTACTCGCCACAGGGTGTACTTTGAGGGTTTGGGACTCTGCAGACCGTTTACATGCAGAAAAAGCTACATAACACACAAGGGGATGGGTAATAACCAGAAAAGCATGACATGGGACCTTTAAATCACTTGAAGCCACCTGAGGGCATCTCTTCTCTCAACTAAAGTGGAACTACTATCCCAGGTGGAGGTAAAGCAAACCAACAGGTTCTCTTCTGCGAACACACAGGTAAAGACAATAAACATGTCACTCAATGATGTCAGGGGGATTTCTATAATGCAAAATGTTTCATTGCAACTAATAAATAAAGACAGAAATGTTATATGAAATGCTTTTCTTTAATGATATTCTCCCACAAGCTTGCAAAACCATTTCCTTCTGTGTTTATATTTTGATGCTGAATTAAAAACACCAATTCCAATATGAAAATCTTGGAATTTGATCCAATATGGTTTGCATGATTACAGACAATATTGCAGCAAAGAGCAAACCAATGAGTTTTTTTTTTTTAAACTTATGTCTTAAATTTCTTTTATGTACATTGCCTTGTTTTTTATGCTGATGCAACGCAAACATTTCCCAAATGTCTATCTGTCTGTCTGTCCGTCCATCCATCCATCTATCTATCTATAAACACCATTTCCTTCATTAGACTAAATTAAACATGCACATGCTGTAGGTTGCATGAAAGCCGAATTAATAAAAACATCTTATTGAAGCTAAAAGTATCTTCATTTATACTTTACAAGTAATACATTATGATTTGTGGACCGAATTAGCCTTATATTGCCTTATTTACAAATAGGGTCTGGTGTTTCGTGACGTGTTGGTACAAATGTTAACAGTAAGGTATAAGGGACAAGGTAATGGACAAACACAAGGAAGTAATACATTGTTTTGCAGTTTTTCCACCTCACATAGTGCCATACACGACATGCTATCATTTGAAACACATGAAGGCAAAAGCAATTAAGTGTATACAAGTTATTTTCACTTTCATGGCGACATGTCATGGCTCTTTCCTCCATTAGAGGACTTACTTACATTTCACACGGTGCGTCCAGCAACTGATTCCCGAGTTTAATCTTGTCTCTGCCGCCTGACATTAAACATTTCTGTTTTTAATCCATTTGCTAAGTCCCATGTGTTAAATCCGCTCAAAGAACGTCACCGTTTCTGGAAAGTTTTCGACCGAATCCGTACCTGAGCGTCAAGGTGGAGGAAAAGCAACAGGTAGCTGCAGAAAGGGGCGGGACTTCCGGTTTTGACTTCCAAAATAAAACATACAAATAAATTGACACTATTGGAATGATGTATTTTACATGTTTACAGTGGTAAAAAAACAATGTTGCAGTTCCATAGCGGAAATCAAGAGTATCTTAAGAGCATCACTCTGAATCTGAAGTGTTGTATTTGAGCTGTTAGATAGATAGATGGATGGATGGATGGATGGATGGATGGATGGATATAGAGATAGATAGATGTAGTCTGCTTAAGCGGTTTATCTTCCTCTGATGGCTTACTTTTTGTATTCAGTGTATTTATGAGGATGCACTAAATGAAAGTGCAGTGCCTCTCACATCCTCATACTAACATGTCCAAATTGCACATCTTGACACTAAACTAGTGCTCTTGTTTATTACGTTTATTTGTGCACACTATTTTTCCGAACATTTCTAAGTTATACTTTAAAAGATTGTTGGGGAAATGTCCCCAGCGTCGCCAGCGCAAATGACGCCTATGAATATGTGCAATATATATATATNACGGCTTGTTGGAGCTCCTGCCCCCCCCTCCCTGTGAGCCCAGTGGCCGTCTGCGAGACAGCGAGACACAGCGAAACCCAACGCGAACACACACACACCCGCTGCCTGGCTGGGAGTTTGTGTGTGTGTCCAGGCTGAGTTCCGCGGCGTCTCGCTGTCTCACCGACCCCACA